AACGCTAGCCCAAAGCAGGCAGGGCTCCTTGGATGCTGCCACCACCTGTGCTGCTCTTTCCCCCCAACTCTTCCCAAGACCCTTTGGGAGAAGGCTCCTCTAGCTGTCATCTCACTCCTCAAATTTTGACATGCTCTCAGGTGGAAGAACTGCAGTGACACCGTCAGACATTGTGCTGTATCAAGTAAACTCACTAGTAAACAGGCACAGTTGGAGGGCATCTGCCGTATAATTTTAGAAGCCTGCTGGAGCTAGATTAAATTAAGCTGACAACCAGACCAAGTTATCAGGGTAGGCCATTCTCATTTCCTCATCTAATCAAAACTCAGCCAGATAATTCCAGTTCCTGCATGACAGAGAATTTAAGAGAAAGTATCTAGACTACAAGAGATCTTAGAATGTAAGCTCCATGAGAGCACAGTTTTGTGTTTATTTTGTTCATCACCACACCTTCTGCATTAGAACCATGTGCAGGCTCTCAATAAACATTTGGCTGAATAAATTCCGACAGCCCGAGAGTTGCAGTGATTACCCCAAGTTTGCCCACACCGGGTCAGAGTTGAGCCCAAACCTCAGGGACAGAGAAAGCGAAGAAAATTATAGAGGTCTTACTATATGCCAGGTATTATTACCAGAAAAAGTATACATTATTTTACTTAATTGTTACAACACTATGTGGTAGGTACCACTATTATCCCCATTCTACAGATTAAGCTTATCTAGCAGGTCACAGAGCAGGGTTATTCATCCATTCACTCATTTGGCAAATAGTTACTGAGCATCTGCTATTTACCCAGCACCATGTCTAGCACTGGGGATACAACGGTGAACAGGACAGACACAGAGTTTATGTTCTAGTGTGGGAGACATAGGGTTAGCAAGTAAAACACAAACAATAGAGTTGTCCGTGAGAATACATGCTGTGAAGGAAATCAATGGAGAGGAAACAGGAGTAGAGGGAGAGGTCTCGCTTAGGTACGGCAGTCAGAGAAGGGCTCTTTAAGAAGGGAACATGCNGTAAAACACAAACAATAGAGTTGTCCGTGAGAATACATGCTGTGAAGGAATCAATGGAGAGGAAACAGGAGTAGAGGGAGAGGTCTCCCTTAGGTACGGCAGTCAGAGAAGGGCTCTTTAAGAAGGGAACATGTAGACTGAAGCCTGAAGGATGAGAAGACCCCGCCGTGATGAGCTGGAGGAAATGTGTTCTAGAAAAAAGAACAAGTGAAAGCCCTAAGGGACAGAAGGATCTGGCTAGTTGAACAACTAGAAATTGTGGCAAGAATACATGGAACTATGAGGAAAGGGTACAGTACGAGTGAGAAGGGGTAAGCAGAGGTCACGTCTCTTCCTCCAAGAAAAATAATATATATTTTTATAATATATAAACTTAATAGATTCTTTTCTTGGGAAAGAGGTCATTTTATATAATTTACATATAACCTATATGAGCTAAGTATATTATATATGAGATCATTATATGTATTCTTGGGGAAAGAGATAATTATATATGAGATATGAGATAATTACACATATAAATAATACATATATTCTTGGGAAAAGACAATTCTGGGAACCGAAGATAATTTTTTTAAAAAACTGTAGAATCTTTAGAAACAGTACAAAACAAAAATAAAATGCTATGAAAAAGAAATGGAGAAAAATCACAGGAAAAAAACTTTGCGGGATTAAAAAAATGACTGGTAAATTTTTAAAGAACTCAATAAAAGGATTGGTATATAAGTCAGTGAAATCTCACAGAAAGAACAAAAAAATAAAAAAGATTTTTAAAATAGGAAAGACAAGGTCCACTCTCTGATTAAATGTGTTTCCAGAAAGAGGAAATGGGAGGTGAGGGGGAGATGGAGGTAGGAAATTATAAACAAAAATAAAAAGGGATTCTCCAGGCCCAGCTGCAGTGGCTCAGTCGATTGAGCATTACCCCTGCACCAAAAGGTTGCCGGTTTGACTGCTGGTCAGTTCCTGGTTGGGAACCTGCCCGGGTTGCAGGTGTCTGAAGATATTACTTGCTGAGATGCCATAGACTGAAGAAATTTCATATTTTGGGGTAAGATTTTAAAAATCCATTCGTTGAAAGCTTTGAGACTCCAAGTAAAATGCAAAAAAATATCTCAAGGCAAACGTTGCTCTGTAAACCATCACTGGCCAGTAGCAGTCCACACTATTTGTAGGTAGTGAGCCACAAGACAAAAAAGTCACTACTAGTGAAGAGGTAGGAGACTAACAAAGAATATCGTTCACTTTTTCTTTCTCTCACTTACTCATCAACAGAGTATCCATTATGTGTCAGAAATACTAGCTAAATAAAAAAACTTAAATTACCTTGCAGGCTGTGGAAACACAGAGGGTGCCTAAGACACATTTGTGGGGTAGAGAGGTTGGTTTCAGAAAAGACTGGAGGAGGTCATACCTGACTTCAGAGTTATTAGAGGATGGGAAGAGACAGCTTCGTGTTGCTACTGTTATGACTGTATAACCGGTTCCCCAAACACATACAGTACTGGCTTAAACTCAAGCCAACATCTTTTATGCTCACAGATTCGGGGGGTCTGGGATCTAGACACGCCACACCAGGGACAGTCTGTGTTCCATGGTGTCTGTGGCCTCAGCTGTAAAACTCTAAGGCTAGGACTGGACTCCTGAAGACCAGTTCACTCACATCTAGTGGTAGATGCTGGCCACTGGCTGGAGGCTTCAGCTCTTGTGTTGTCTCTCTGCATGGGTAGCTGGCATTTCCTCAAAATACAATGACTGGTCCCCAGAGTAAGAATCCCCCAAAAAAGGAGAATCCCACCCCCCCAAAACTATATCCTTTTTATGACCTGGAGTTTGTATTCCTTTGCAATATACAACTTCAGTAAAAATTTCTTTTAAAATGTATTAACAACTTAATACTGCACACTTATTGTGGCCCAGGGCCTGTCCAACAAAACGTTGCATGGATTAATTCCTTTTATCCTTACAACCCTATGCAGTAGAAACTTTTATAAATCCCCTTTTACGCATGAAGCACAGAGGTTAATTAACGTGCACACGGGTCACACAGCTAGCAAGTGTGCGGTGCAGGACTTGAACCCGGCAGCCCATGTCCTGTGCGCACACTCCTCACTGCTGTAACCTAGACTGGCTGCCACCCTGCCCAGCTCCCAGCAAGACTGCAGCTCCCAATCCCTCCTGCCTAGAATGTCTGCAGCCGTGGGACACTAGGCTAAGGTCCCTGCGGCCAGGAACCTCGGTTCGTCACTCATTATGTTGTCCAAGAGGGCCTCTCCATTTTTGTTAAATACACGAAAAGTGCCAAGCTGGGAAGCTCTCCCTGAGGCCTAACCTCTGACCTTTCACACCGCCTACAGAAAAGCCCTCGAGC